GCGTGCCATGGAGGGGATCAAGGCCCTGCGAACCCCTCGCCGCCGTCGACCTCCAGACTCACAGACTCGCAGACTCGCAGGCGGATCGGTGCTGGGGCCGGTCCCGACATGACGCGGCTGGGCCGGCGCATGACTGAGGTGCGCAGCCTCGTGCGCACAACTCGGTGCCATTTTGTTCTGTTTGTGTTTGAATACCTAGTGGTATGTACCGCCCGCCGTGCGGAGAGCCTCGAGAACTTATTCCGCCAGGACGACTCCTGGCTGCCGTTAAATTACGTGTAGTACGAGGTGCGCGGGAAAGTTCGTGGGGTTTTGGGGAGCAGGACGAGGGGCGGGGGGACTTTGCACCGAGCTAAACACTCTCTGAGAGTCAGACGCGCAAAGTCACGCAGGCTCTCTCTCTGCAGGAGTTGTAATGTACATTCGGAATGTTTATGTAAAATGGGTTCGTTTCGAAGTTGGACCCCGCCCTGTTACGCCGGCCGTCGCTGCGCTTTGTATCAAGCAGACAGCTGGCCGGGCTGGGGCGCGGTGGACGTGGACGCCGCGCCCTCCCGGCCACGCTGTACCGGCGCACAGCCGCGCGGTCGAGTTGCCTACCCGCACGGCGGCCCGGCCGAGAGCCGTCATCGGCCTGCTCCCTGCTACTCTACGTCGAGGTGGAGCAAGAACGGCGCCTCCCGCCCACCCGGGAAGTGTCGCTCCTAGTATCGCCTCCTGGTCTGCATCTGGTTGGAGTGGAGCTGCATGGCACATGGCTTCTCCATCCCGGGGGACCCACCCCGCCCCACCACGTCCCACCCCGCTCCGGCCCAACCCGCCCAGCTACGGGCGCCCTCTCTGTCCCAATCATGATATCAATCTTCCTGACAGGTGGGTTCCCCCGTGTCCATTCGGACCATTGTGCCACACGTGGACCTGCCACCTTAGGCCCCGCCGAGGGGTCCGTCACTCTTGTTAGTCACTGTACACATGAAAATTCCGTCACATTTTTAGTCATTTTCAGTCATTTTTAGTCAGTTTTAGTCATTCAGTCAGTTTTTGGTCATTCAGTCAATTTTTGGTCATTCAGTCACATTTCAGTCATTTTTATTCGTTTTTAGTCACATTCAGTCATTTTTTCAGTCATATTCAGTCATTTTCAGTCATTTTTAGTCAATTTCAGTCATTTCTAGTCTCTACAATTCTCACCTCTTCCCCACCTTATTGATCATCGTGGATGCACTCGGTTAGGACGCATCTATTTCTCTAGTTTCGTTCCTCGCGCCATCTTATCGGGGGTCGAACAGAACGCCGAATGTGAACGTGAACGTGACTAATCATCATTCATTTTCAGTCATTTACAGTCATTTTTAGTCAATTTCAGTCATGTTTAGTCAATTTTAGTCATTTTTAGTCAATTTCAGTCATTTTTTTAGTCATTTTCAGTCACATTTAGTCAATTTCAGTCATTTTTAGTCAAAAACAGTCATTTTTAGTTAAAAACAGTCATTTTTAATCAATTTCTTCTTTTTTGTCATTTTTAGTCATTCACTCAATTTTTAGTCACTTTTAGTCATTTACTGATTTTTAATCATTAGTCACTGTACACGAAAAATCGGAGTGACGGACCCCTCGG